TCCTTGAAGTCACTAACTTCTAGTCTGAGTCATATTGGTAGATGCAGTCTACTTGGTTGGGGTCCGCGTGACCGTCGTAACCAATGACTGGAGAGTTTGGCTCAGAATTGATCACAATGGCGTTGATGTATACACACTTTGTATTCCATTAAACCGTGAGATTAAAATCGCTTCATATCTTTCTTTCTACAAAATAATTCTTTCTTCTTGTACTATATCCTTACACACAATCTTTCTTTTATATATTACTATCATTGAAGTAACTACTCCTATGAATTTAGTGTTCATCTTGTTGTGTTAATGGGGTATGGCAACTTGGACCGATGCATATATGTGCCTGGTCCTACGTTGTAGCTGACTAACTGCATGCTAATTTATTGACAATGGTTTAGTTTAAAAATAAGACCTAACTAATAATAATAGACAAATAAATAAATAAATAGGCAAATAGATTTTGTCCAAAAATTTTTCAAACGTAATTGATTACGTTTTATTAAATTTAGATCAGTGAAGTGAATATTTGAGTATAATCATCTAGCTCACTGAAACGCATTCATATCTAGATTTTAAAGCTGAATGAATTCAAAACGAATGTCGCTCTGTCCATGATTTGTATCAAAGAATGCTAATTTGAGCATTATGTGTATCCATCAAGGGAGTTGGATAAATATTTAATTATTACCTTGTTTTGTGTAATATTTTTGATGTTTGACACTCTAAATATTATGTTTATGTATTGTGGTCCTTAATCATTTCCTATAAGGAAGTTAGGGTGATAGTAAACATCAGAAATATCAAGAAAAGGAAAAGACGTCAAATATTATTGAAATCAAACGCACACCGTTTGTACAAATATGTACTTTCTTTTCACCTAAATTAATTGGCTCTGCTTGACGTGGTATCTTAATCATGGTCCATATCTTCACTAACATTTAAAATAACTTTCAAAAAATCTGATTAGTTCCCTTAAAGAGTTGAAACACAATAGGATAATTAGTCTAAATAATCATCATACATTTAAATCTATGGGATTGAACACATTACGACTATATAATCTACTCAAAGTGTAAAAGTTATGACATCGTTATTCGCTTATATGTGTTATTGTTATTTAAAATATGGGAATTTTTAAAATTTAAGATTGTTTTTAGTTTTATATGTTTAGATAATCGATAAATAGATCACTTGGTCGTATAAAGCATTGAGTAACAATTGTTTAATGAAAGCTCCGAAGTACTTGTAACTTTTTGAAAAATGTTTTATGGATTTTATTTCTTTGAAAACACAGCTAAATTTCAGTTAGGGATGTACCACTGATAAGTGAGTTGACATAGATTGTAAAAACGAAATTCTATTCTGTTGTTCAGTATTTCAGCTGTGCTGTTCAAAACTTTCTATGGCTACTCATTATTGGTTCGAATAAAGTTAAAAATTATGAATTTAGATTAGTAAATTGTTTAGACAAGTTTATGTGATTCGGAAGTATCACTATACATATATGCTTAGTTTAGTACTGAGTGTTCAATTAAGTTATAAAGTCAGTATTTATTTAGTACTAGTGTAATAAACGATTCTTGTCATTCATGAAATCTGGCTACAGAAATTCAGTTTCCGACATTTATCACTACGACTTCTAACAGTATAAAGTGAATAATACACATCTCGATATTCTGTGAGTTTTCTCTTTGTTTATCCAACCATTATAAATGATATCTAAATTATAGAATGGTTAACTAGAAATACAAAAATATATTTAAAAAGATCGATGTGTAAGTATATTCAAATACGAGTTAAAGCAAACCAAATAAGATCGAAGAAGTGGGTTGTGGAGTGGGAATTACATAACTTCAAAAGATTAATCACTGAAAGTAAAAAGTTGATGTTCTTACTATACTTGAAATATATATCTCGGAAAACATTACAAAGGTTCCAAAACATTTTGGAATCAGTGTTGTTTTTAGAACAATGAAATCATTTCATTTCATTCAAGACATTGCTACATGCAAAATAGCGAAAATATATAAATTTAATATCCGCTCCACAATAAATTACGCCCACTCTTAGATACACTACGTTGGGCATCTTGGACACCTCTTCACCTACGCCCACACTAACATTAATTAGGAGTGAAGTTATATAATGTGTTTTTACGGCATCAGTGCACGTGTAAAACCGTGGGCATAAATTTTAATTGACGAAAATTCAAAATTCCGGATCCATGTTCCTCTAAAAATGCCGCAGAAATATCCGATTAAAAAGCATTGGTAATAGAAATATTGAAATAGATCGATTTTGTTGACCGATATGGAAAAGATCAATCAGTTATGAGGTAAGAAATCAACCGAAAAAGTCAATCGGGATGATTGCAGTAAAACATGAAGGAAAAATAGTTTAAATGGATAATCAGAAACAAAGAAAGCCGTCAGAACGGACTAATAAATTCTTGTGGAATAACTGAAAATTCCACTTCCGTTTGAACGAGTTATTGAAGATTGTGCTCAGAATGATGATCGATGATTCACAGTTAAACCAGCCAGGTCATAGAAAACTACACTACCGAAGCATTCGCCTGAACTGTAAATCATATCTACAATTTCAAAACTTTTTGAATCAATAATGATAATTTTTTTCTATCAGTTCAATGTGGCAGCAACTTCAGTATTTGATATGTTTACATGTGACTGAATATCTGAGCCACAGGTTGCATTTATATTCATCAGCCACGGGACATATTTAAGTACTCATGAGGTACCTAGAATGTAGGTTACTTGTAAATGCGTTTTTGTCGTTTTCTCTTTAAAGTTTGTCATGATGGATATGACATTTTTCTTCACTGTAGAACTTTGTGCAAACGCTGACATGTTGAGAATATTATCGTATTGTGTTCATTTAGTCACTGGCATTTAAATTAAAAACAGGTGAGTGTTAATTACTGATGCAATATTTATTTTAATATGTGCTGAGTGTGTACATGTTAGTCTTTCTTTTACCTTGACTCGACAAGTTTAACTTCGTATGTACATCGTTTGATTGCACTTTCATTGATGGAATAGATAATGCTTGGATTTTGCAAATGTATATCCAGATATTTTCAAACTTTTTGCTAGACTGTTTATCGGAGTGCTATACGATTATCTCATATACAGTTTTATTGCCTTCACGGTCAAGTTTATTATTTAACTAGCTTTCGATATTGAAAATTATTCACAGACTTTTTAGTCACAATAGTTTTCTCTTTTTATTAAAAAAATACACTTGATACCAGAGTTATCATACATACCCGTAACAAAAGTTTCCACTCACGCATTCTATAGCATACTTATAGGTATGTTCATCCATTTAGAAGGGTAAATGGTTAGCGCTCCCTTACAACGCATTTAGACATAGGGCAAACACTTTTCGACTATGTTCCTTGGGCGCGTACCCTTTGTACATACCTACAAAGATTCACCATACAAGACAAAAACTCATGCAATTCACATACACAAGCATACACATCCGACAGCCCTCAAGATTTCTGTTTTGTGAGCCTTAAGAATGAAACCCAGTTAATCTAGCATACAACAATATAAAAGATTAGTCCGATCACCATCTACACCACCCAAGTTAGCTAGCAAGTTTGCTCTTACTACTCAGCAGCATCACGTGGAGGCTTTCAATCAGACTTTACTACTGTATTACTATTATTTTTCTTACCAATCATAGGAAAGTATTTCTATTAAGATCGTAATTACTTTTATTCTTTAAAACTAGATATAGCAATACAGGAAATAGATACTTAGTAGATATATTTCATATCAAAAATATTTTTTTAGATATTCATAAATTTTTTGTGAAAAAAATAAAACAGAGAGTCTCAACATTAAAATGAAATGCGATAAGGATCATTTTGCTCATCTGAAAAAAACAAAAAATAATGTGTACTTCACTATTTATATCCCAGTGTACACTTTGATTTTCATCAGTTAATATGACTAAATTCATTGAAACATTTACTAGAACAAAAAATGGAATAAGTCACCACACATAATAAGTAAAAGTACAAGTTGATAATAGGGAGATAGGTATACTGATAGTAGTAAGAACAATAAAATATGATGACAAAAGTCACATCAATAGTAAAATAATAGAAATAGGTCAAAAGTGGGTAAACGCTCGCTCGCAAGATTGATAGGTCCTGAGTTCGAATCCCGCGGGGGACGAGATCGTGGATGCGCACTGCTGAGGAGTCTCATACTAGAACGAAACGGCCGTCCAGTGTTTCAAGGTATCCATGATGGTCTAGCTTCAACTGACTTATGATTTCAACCATTAGGATTAGAATAGTCATCACAAAACATTAAAACCACTACGTAATAAGAAATGAGTAAATAATTAGACAGTGAAGAATACAAACGGAAAGAGGCAAAAATTACAAACAAATACTGGATGTGAAAATACGCCTAATGACAGAAAAAAATGTTTATTGCAAATATAAAAAATTTTTTTTCTTTTTTCGTCTAAGTATTCCCCTATAGAATATAGATTCTTCTTATATTTGTACACATTATAATTCATTTTTTTGTAGAGTATTGAATATAATAAACGAAAAATTCAAGTATTCAAATATTTGTTCTCTTTTGAATAGATTAATTTTTATGATTTTCAAAGTATAAATGGCTGAGAATAATGGAATAATAAAAAAAGAAGAATGTTGCCATAGTGATTGATTTTTTTTCCTAACAAATATTAATATGAAACTTAATCGTGAACTTGTAGAGGTTAACCAAGTTTGTTGAGATAAATTTCCTCTATATTCGACTCCAAATAAAGATATCTCATTAACCGAGTATTTAATACAGGCTTAATCTCCTAGTAGAATTATCGATTTTACTCGAGATCATTAAAAAGCCCAAAAATCAGTTATAGAGATAGTTTATTGTGAAAGCCTGGTAAAGTCCGCAAGCATACAGCAAGCAAGCACCGAGTGAGTCAAAAATCAAAGTGTGGTGTGTGTCTGTGTTAAAAGATCCATATATATTTTTGAGTATCAATCAAGTGTAGATAAATTATTGATTATCTATGTGTCACAACCAATGGGGAATAGAATAGGGATAGAAGTGCAGACACACGCTCAATCATACTCATATGGAAATTAACACAGTTGTGTAGACAAATAATACATTAATGGAATGGGCTTGCTACATAAGCTCCCATCCAGAACATTGATGTTTTTATTTACAAAAAAAATTTTTATTAACATCTATGTTCGACAAAGAGATAAAAAACGAAATTGTCTTTAAAATAAATGTACAATTTGATATGATGATGAGTAAGCGTTAAGTTGTCATAACAGCTTGTGTGTTGAAACGCTTTGTATCATGTATGTATAAATGTATATTTAACATCAACGAATTTCATAAAGTTAAAATGTAAGCATAATGAAGATCCGTGGGGCCAATAAAATATAGTAATGAAAATAAAGAAGGATTTTTGTGGTATAAGAGCAATCTCAGGACTTGGTCTAGATAAATATGGTGGTTGCTACATACCTATCTGGCCAGTGTACTTTTCTTCCTGATCTTGTTGTGGTTTCTGTTGCGGGCGTACTTTTGAGTGAAGTTTTGTTTGTTGCAGTTAGTCTATTTGATGCTTGCTCTGCTGCAGGTTTAGATGGTTTTACAGTTGCCTGTTTCTCAGTGTTCTCTAAAAACGCTGGTTTTATTCTGTCGATGCTAACAGTGTCATGTTTACCTGCTCTTTCCACTGTAATTGTTTTACCGTCTTTTCGGATGATTTTAAACGGGCCGTCGTAAGGAGCCTGTAACGGCTGTCGTACTCTATCATTTCTGACGAATACATGTGAGCATTTGTCTAGTTCATTAGGTACGAATGATCTCACCTTTTGGGTTCGTGGTTCAACGGACCTAATTGATTCCATCTGTTGTTTTAATTGTTGTACATAGTCGGTTATGTCTGCTGGAATATCTGTTGCGCGGTCAAAAAATTCACCGGGCAAACGTAACGTTGTTCCATACACCAACTCGGCAGCACAACAACCAATGTCTTGTTTTATAGATGAGCGAATGCCTAATAGTATCAAAGGAAGTTTGGCATCCCATTTGTAATCTCCTCCAGCAGCTGTCAAAGAGGCTTTTAATTGTCTGTGAAACCTCTCTATCATTCCATTAGCAGTCGGATGATAAGCAGTGGTTCTAATTCTCTTTATACCGAAAGTATCTGTAAGTTGCTGAAATAGTTTGCTTTCAAACTGAGCTCCACGGTCGGTCGTAATTGTTGTAGGGACACCGAAGTTTGTAATCCAGTGTTTCACCAGTTTCTTCGCTACTGTTGATGCTGACGTGTCTTTTAACGGAACAGCTATGGGCCATCTCGTAAATCTATCTATACATGTTAGTATGTGCGTGTAACCATTAGAAATTGGTAACGGTCCAACAATGTCGATATGAATGTGGTCGAACCTAGCGCTAGCGGCGGGGAAAATTCCTGTAGGAGATATGATATGTCGATGTACTTTTGACTTCTGGCATTGGATGCATTCCCGTGACCATTTTCGTACATCTTTGTTTATGTTTGGCCATACAAACCTATCTGTGATAAGCTTTACAGTGGCTTTTATACCTGGATGAGATATGTTGTGTAGTTTCTCAAAAATGTTTCGTCTCATGTCACAAGGTACAAAAGGGCGAGTTTTACCTGTTGAGGTATCACAAGTTAAGATGTCCTTGTTGTTTATGGAGACGTTTTCGAATACTAACTTCGTTTCCTTAGACTGCAAAAGCTTTTGTAGCTCCCTATCGAGCTTTTGCTGTTTTGCCATATCTTGATAGTTTATATCAGGGATCGAGAAGGTATTGATACTTAATCTCGACAGTGCATCTGCTGCCTCATTTGCATTGCCTTTTATGTATCGTATATCAGCTGCAAATTGCGAAATGAATTCTAGTTGACGAATTTCGCGCGGACTGTATTTATCATGATTGTGCATCAAGGACTTAGTTAGAGGTTTATGATCCGTATATATCGTAAAAGAATTGCCTTCTAACATATACCGAAAGTGTTTGATGGCTAGGTAGACAGCTAACAGTTCTCTACCGAATGTGCTATATTTTGTTTGCGTTGAGTTAAGCTTTTTTGAGAAAAATGCAAGGGGTTGCCATTGTTGATCGACATGTTGTTGAAGCACAGCGCCTACTGCTACATTAGAGGCATCGGTCATTACTGCTAAAGGTGCATCAACCTTTCGACGTACTAGTAATGCCTCAGTGCTTAATGTGCTTTTTAACTGTTCAAATGCTTGAATTGCTTGCGGTGTCATTGTCAATGATTTAGCTCGTCCCCTTAATAAATCAGTTAGCGGTTTTGCTATGTCTGCACATTTCGGAATAAAACGTCTGTAAAAGTTGATCATCCCAAGGAAACGTCGTAGTTTCTTGAATGAATCTGGTAAAGGATAATTTTTGATGGCTTGTGTTTCCTCAGGAACTGGTTTGATGCCTTGACTATCAATTACGTGACCTAAAAAGGTGAGGGATTGTTTTCCGAACTCACATTTGTCAGGGTTGACTGTTAACCCATACTCGTTTAGCTTCTCAAAAAGCATTTTCAGATGAATTAGATGTTCATTTTCATTTTTGCTTGCGATAAGAAGGTCATCTATGTAAGCATATACGAAAGGTAAGCCACGTACTACTTGGTCGATAAAACGCTGGAAACTTTGTGCAGCATTCCTTAATCCGAAAGGCATGCGAACAAATTCGTATAATCCAAATGGGGTAGTAATGGCTGTTTTGGGAACGTCGTCCGGGTGAATTGGAATGTGATGGTAAGCGCGGACGAGATCAACTTTTGAAAAAATCGTCACATCAGATAGACTATGAGTGAAGTCATGCAAATGTGGAAGTGGATATTTGTCTGGTATAGTACGGCTGTTGAGAGCTCTATAGTCACCGCACGGTCTAACTTCGGAAGAGTTTTTCTTGGGTACCAAATGGAGCGGTGATGCCCACGGACTATCGGAGGGGCGTATGATACCCAACTCTATCATTTTGTTGAATTCGTTCTTTGCTAGAGCCAAACGAGAGGGGTCAAGGCGTCTTGGACGTGCGAACACTGGTGGACCCTCTGTCTTTATATGATGTGCGACGGTATGTGTCAGTTTGTCCCGTTTGAAATTCGGTCGTAATAAGTCTGGAAACTGATTAAGTAAACTAACGTACTTGTCATTCTCACGATGAGGTTTGATCAATAAATGTATGGATGTCTCGTTAGAAATAATCCCTCTAATTTCGCTGCTATGGTCAGCAAGGACAAGTTTCCGACTTCTTACATCTACGAGTATTTTATGGGATTGTAAAAAATCAATGCCGATTATAGGAATGAGGACGTCAGCTATGATGAAGTTCCATGAAAACTTGGATTTAGGACCGAAATTTAATTGTAAATGCCTTTTGCCGTACGTCTTGATCTCAGATCTGTTTGCGGCTTGTAGTTTTAGTTTGGGGTCAGGTGTGTTTTTCTCAAGTGTAGTGGGTGGTACTACACTAACCTCTGCCCCAGTGTCGACTAAGAACTGTGTCCCAGTCCTTCTGTCTGTAACATATAACAAACGACTGCTTTGAGAGTTGTGTTCAGCGACTGCAGTCGTCATTAACCGACGTTCATGATGGTCTCTTTGTTGTGTGCTTGCGAAATTACAGGGAGGAGTACATTTTTTAGCTTGCTTACCGTACGTTTTATGGTACCAACAAATGTTATGTCGAGTGGTGCTTGGACTACGACTTTTACGGCTTCTGGACCTTCCTTTCCGCTTGCTGTGGGAGGTATTCAAAAATTGGAGCTGAGCTATCTGATTAGCGAGGACTTCGACTGTTCGTCGCAACTCGGCGATCTCGTCAGATGAGTTTGATTGTATGTGAGATACGGAGTGCGTCCTAGTTCGCTCGTAAATTCTATCGGCTATATCTGCTAGCTTATCAAAATCTATATCCTCGTCTCCGATCGCTAGTATCTGTTGGATGTTTTGTGGGAGACGTCTGAGCCACAATTGATATAATAGACGTTTATCTACTGAACGATTCCCCAATAAATTTGTCATGTGGCGTTTCAGTTGAGATGGTGTACTGTCACCTAGCTCTACATTAGCTAAAAGTTGATCAATTGTTTGCTGGTCGGTGAGTGATGTAACACGAATGACCTCTCTTTTTAGACAATCGTATGGTGAGTCTGGATCCGGTTTAAAAATGACGTCAGACACTTGTTCTATAACATCGTCTGGCAGCAATGAGTTTGCATAACTAAATTTTGTGTTCTGATTTGTGATTCTGTTTGCAACAAAAAAGCTTTCTAAGCGTGCAAACCACAGTTCGGCCTTTCGGGGATTAAAGACAGGTAAAGGTACAGAGATGGCACCCACGGAAATAGACTTAGATGAAAGGCTTGGTGAATTATCAAGTGACATGATACGAAGAAATAATAACAATAGCAATAATAATAAGCTGAGGATTGAAATATATGATATGAATAAGTCGAAAATAACAACAAGAAATATATATGAGACTCACCGAAAACAAAGGTCACTTTGAGTTTAAATAGGCAAATATAAAGTAATAATTCCAAAGCAACAATGTTATAGATGAATTAACTGACTGTCAATGTATTGTTAATAATTGCAATAGTAATTCCAATATGAAGTTCTTTATGATTGGAGAATATGCAGCAGATTTTGTAGAGAAACAGGCGCGTGTTCTAAATGCGGCTCACCAGTTTGTAGAGGTTAACCAAGTTTGTTGAGATAAATTTCCTCTATATTCGACTCCAAATAAAGATATCTCATTAACCGAGTATTTAATACAGGCTTAATCTCCTAGTAGAATTATCGATTTTACTCGAGATCATTAAAAAGCCCAAAAATCAGTTATAGAGATATCTTTATTTGGAGTCGAATATAGAGGAAATTTATCTCAACAAACTTGGTTAACCTCTACAAACTCAAACATAATTATAGTTAGTTATATGATATTTTATAGACTGAGAAGAATTTCAAAATGAAAAGGACAATTCTTTCTTTCTTTTTTTGAATTGTTAGAAGCATCTAGTTCTGTACAGAAACTGTTATATGTTAAACTGGTAAATGATTAATCATTTATTTAAACAGCTGTTTTTAGTTTGATGGTACTTCATAAGTGTTTGTGAATAATTAATACTAAATAAAAATACAGGATAGGTTTACTCATAGAATATATTTTATTTCAAATTATTGAATTTCATTTAGATATGGATTAGTAAATGAAATACACCTATTAAGATATTAAATACGAAAGATTAATCAACGAAGAGTTCTCTTTTCGGCGAATTCATTTTTAAAACTGTACAATCGCAAATATATATACTTATTTTACAGGATAATAATAATACTGATAATAAAATCTCTGTTAGACTTGGTGACAGTGAGGTTAAATAAACAAAGGTATGAAAAAAGTTTATTTAAAACCAGGAAAGTTTAATAATCGTTTGATTGTTAATGGTTTAAGTACTCAACAAAATTATCATTGGGAAGGAATGGATCAGCATGATAAAATGTTGAAATCGAGATTAAATGTAATGAGGATGATCTTGGAAACAAAATGAACCATTTGGGGTAGAGGATTTAAGGGGAAGATGGAAGGTGAAGCAGATGGCTATAAAGGAAGAGGAGTATGAAGAAAGCGAAAAAAGAAAAAATCATAAAACATTAAGATCATGGTAGAAGAAGAGGTTGTACCAATCTCTTTTGCACACACAGTTCTGGTTTTTCCAGATGTATAACTAATGCTTCGTAATGCAAAGAAGATGAAGTCTAATTATCTTTGGAAGAATTCTACTTACCTTGCAGAGTCTGTTTTGATTGCGTGACCTGTATTCACAAGATGTTCGATTATTGAACTTCTTATTGAGCCGTTTCCTCTTTTTTTTTAGCCACGCCGGATAATGTTCTTGAATTCTTTTGGATAAAGTACGCATTGAACGACCTATATACTAATAAGTTATCATCAGAAAGCTTAAATCGTTGTGTCATAACAAAATTAACACAAGATTGACGGAACTGATGATATCGTAAATAAATTTATATCTTCTATGACTGTAAAAAATAATCTCATTTGGTGTAAGTCTTTTTGGTAAGATGAAAATAGATTTCAATTGTATTCGCAGTTACGTATACCAACATGAGGTTGTGTATTCATTTTTAGAAGTACATGAGAAAACAATTCTTTTTGAGAAAAAGTAGCCATTTATAAAGTATGCATGTGTTTGCTATTTAATGAGGAAATGAATTATCAAAACGAACTAACTATGGGGAGTTAAAATGCACTTACTTGACCAGTAAGTCTCTATGATAAAGGACACGTTTACTGACAAGTAATTACTAGCATAAAGTTACATACTCAGTTCAATTTAAATACAACTATATGAATGATTTCACATGAAAAACTCAAAATCCTACCGTCATGTATAAGTTGTTCAGTCGTCTACACCTTCTACCATTAAAGATTCATTATTCAAAGAGTTTGCTTACAGTAAATGATGTTAGGCTGAACTACAATTTATTATGCTACTCAGCTGTAATAATATAAAAGAGTTTGTTTTCTTTTTTAAGAGAATTTTAACTGTGATTCAAAAAATGTTAGGTGTTTGGTTGTAGTCCATGGAAAATCCTGGATCTAGGTTTCTTACCAGTTAGCACTTGTCAGCAAAGTACAATCTTAGGGAAGCTGATATTCTCTATCGGGTCCGAATTATCTAGTTTCACAGTTTTAAGCATTACTATTGAAATATTTGAGCTACGACTGACCTATAATTTTCCTAATGATTTGATTTATTTTAAGCTAATGATAAGTGTCAGATTTGTTATGCTTGAGCAATTGTACAAAAGATTCCTGTAATTGTTTACATAAATTAAAGACACAGCTTCAAGTTCCACTTACAATAGGATTTTTTGTAAAGTTCTTCATTGCAAAATTACACAATATTATTCTTTATACTCCAGGGTGTGTAAATAATAGAGATTGCTTCATTTAGCTTAACAATATTATTTATGTATGTGAAAATAGTAATAATAGTTGTAATTAAAGCATTCTTTTATAACTTCAATATATACAATCTATTGCCTAAACTGTGATAGATTTACATATATTAGAAATTTAAGGCAACATATGCGACTATTTTTGTTTTGAAAGTTTATAGGCGAAATATCATTTGAAATGATATTTTCTATTTTAATTGGATATTTTAATGGATTTTTATACTCTGATCTAGATGGTTTGGTCATTAATTGGATATTGACGATAGAAACTATGGAATATATTTACTTACGAAATTATCATATAAATCATCATTTTATTTTCTTTAAGGAAAGTATCATCTTATTTACAGAAAAGAACTCCACAAACCGTAGTCAAAGTGATAAGAATGTGTGTGCGTGTTTGGAAAACATTCTATACATTATTTTTACTAGTAATGGATAATATTTTATCTAGTTTATTGTTTCATGAACCATTTCATGTTTTTCATTACTTATTATGAACAAACTTGATAAATGTTTCATTTGTATGTACTTACTTTCTTACGCCTGTTACTCCTAATGGAGCATAGGCCACCGACCAACATTCTTCAACCCACTCTGTCCTGGACCCTCCTTTCTAGTTCTATCCAATTGTTGTTCATTCTTCTCATATATGTCTCCATTTCTTGGTATAATGTGTTCTTTGGTCTTCCTCTTTTCTCTTGGCCTTGAGGATTCCATGTCAGGGCTTGCTTTGTGACGCAGTTCGGTGCTTCCCTCAATGTGTGTTCTATCCACTTCCAAAGCTTTTTCCTGATTTCTTCCTCCGCTGTAATCTGGTTTGTTCTTCCCATAGTAGGTTGTCGCTGATAGTGTCTGTCTAGCAGATCCTAATTGTTTTGCGTAGACAACTGTTAATAAACACTGGTATCTTCATTTGTATATACGCTGAATAATAAATAAATTAGCCGAACATTTATCAGCATGCAGTTGTATAGGTTAAATGCAATGTTTAGTGTCAACACATTTAACTTAGAAAGTAACAACATGTTTTCACTGAATAATGTGATTATTTTTTCAAGTTTGTTGAAATACATGAATAGTATTATACTGCTACGTAACATTTACAGTGCCTTCTAATATTTATTCGTTCTTTAGGCTAAAGCATTTCGAGTAAGACATCTTTAAAAAGTTATATGTTGAGAAAAATTAGATATTACTGTGTGTCTCAGAAGTTTTAAGCTGTTAAATAATGTGTCAAGTATTACATAGATTATCTTGAAAGTCACTTTAAGGAAAGAACCACATTACTGGCCCTTTTTTATAAGAAGATTCTAAATATTATCACTTTTAACCAAATGTTCATAGACTTATAAGTGTGGGAAACTTAGCGTATTCTATAGGATAGTCATTTTTTGAATATTCGCTAGATATTTCCATAAACAGTTAAAATTATAGTGTACTTCGTAACTTATCTTCTATTCATTCTTTGTCAATTCAGTACTATAAAAAAGTAATGAATCAAAAGATGAAACATTTTGTTCCATTTAAGCAAAGATTTCTATTTATATACCACAGATGGTAAGCATACATTTTCATGTGTTCATAAGGTAGTCTATATTTAAAAGTGATGACACGTAAGAATATCATACATATTTTTTAAATACGCTTTCCTTGATGATATACTAAATATTAATAAAAATATACGTATTGTTACGTACTTGAAAGTAGCGGACAGGAACTTCATTTTCGTCAAGAATAGAGGTCCTCCTTACTGAGAAGCGTCAACTAGCACGAAAAGCAGGTTTAGAGTTTCCTGTAGGTTTCCTTCAATCACCTAGCATTTTAAAAAAGCTCACACGGTATCACGTTACTTAGACTATTAGGCATATTGTGACTTGATCGATAAGATTTGATCATTACTCAAAGAATTGGAACACCATGACACTAGTCACCACCCGATGATCAAACAAATGTAAACGTGTGCCTGCATTTAAATATGGAGGAGCTAAATTTACTTTAATACTGGTCCACAGAGTACTGCTTTGTGGACACGGTCCATTTAATATATTTGTTATTTATTCGATTATTACGGTATGAAATTTTATTTTTGTTTATATGCCTGTTTTAATTAGCTGGTTTGTTCCACATAACATTTATTGCTTTTTAAGCAACTGCAAATCAAAATGTTTTTCTTTTCGTAATTATACGTAACAATGAGTGATTAGAATAATGCTTATTGATACTTAAATTTATTTTTTACTCAGGAACACTTCCAATAAATTACTTATTATTCTTCAGTTGCAGTATTACATACCTTCGTTGTTTTGATCAATGACGTCATTGTGGCAGTAGTAACGTAGTTTCTTCTTCTTTCAGTAGATCTTGTAAGGCTTGGAGCCTGTGGATGAGAGTTATCTTGAATTCATTGAGTTTGTTACTATCTCGTAGGAAGGTTTTATTGAACCTTTGTGATATTGTTTCTCCAGTTGTCCAATACTTCTTTAACTTCAAATGGTGATCCGAAGCTAGGTCTGTTATTCTCCTGGTTCTCACGTCTTTCATTGATCTTCTGAATGTTTAAGTGATGCAAATATGATCGATCGGGTTCTGTGTAGCGTGATCTGGTGAGACTCATGCAGCTTTGTGTATGTGCATTTATGTAGGAATATTGTGCCACTTATTACCATTTTGTTGTTCAATTTTTAGATTGTAGA